TCTTTTCTATCTCTACGCATGGAAGCACTTGCCTTATAAATCGAACTATGAAATTGCTTCATTTTCCAAAATGTTGGATTGAGGTGGCCATGTAAGTAGGTCTATTGTTTTGAGAACGCCATAATTTTTCTGTATGCTTTTAGGAATTTATTTTGTCCCCGCTTCAATTTGGTGTGCCCAACTCAAGGCCTCGGTATTACCTTCTTGCATGCATCGACTGGTACGCCACAGAGCCAGCTAAAGAGATTTCCACGACGTTCGAAAGCTGCCACTCTTCTGTGCCAAAAGAAATACAATGCTTTTTGGACGAGTCACAGTCCAACAAGCACCTTTACCTGGAAAAGGATAGTCTTCAAAAATATGCTCTGACTTTGGACGTGGTTTCTTTCAACTCGACAAGGTCTGCCTGTTTCACAAAATCTTATGGCAGCTACATGACTGGATGCGGATCGTATTTCTGCGATAGGTAAATATTCGAGATGTGTCTCTTTTACAATTTTTTTCGTCAACTTTAGAGTGTTGCAATTGCAGGCTCGATCTTATGGACGGTAACCGCATCAGTGCGGATGCTCTCGCTGACGGAGAAGTTTTGGAAGAGGTTGTTCGTCTGTTTTCTCCTAGAGAAGTTGCCAACCTGATGTGCTTTCCAGTGGAATTCAAGGCACCTCCTGGTGCTACAGATAAGCAGATGTATCGTTGTCTGGGGAATTCTGTGAACGTTCGTGTAGTAGCTGCTCTTTTAACTAAGCTGCTACATAGCTAATGTAGTTCCACTCTTCCCGTTGAAGGAATTTTTTATCTATAAGTTTTTCTTTTGCTCAGAAACCAAATCAAGCTGTTATGACCATTTCCATCAGGAATTCTAGGTGAGCGTCCTCAAGTTCTTGCTAGTTCTATGCCACACGAGAAAAAGTGGCAGGGAGTACGCATACGTTTGCTAGGTTTTTCACTCGAAGAACTACTGTTGAGAGCTCTCTTCTTCACGTATCGATCACATCCAACTACAATCAATCCGTCATGATCTAATCTTCCCGCCATAAGCAAACTAGGTCATGCAGTTCTGGCTAAGCTACATAATTATTGCTGGGTAGGATGGAAGAAATGTCCGCTGGGATATCAGTGTGAACCTCAGAGGTATCTTTAGATCTATGTGATCTTTAGTGAGATTGTTGTCTGTAAAGAACGCGATGTTTGCAGGATGATTGTGTTAGGTATAAGATCATAGATCAAAATTGGGGCAGCGGTAAACTTCGAGCTCAAGCGAAGAAATATCAGCGCTGTGGTGTCACATTTGCGGCCGACACGGAATCGGTGTCTCACAAAGAGAACCTTATTTATGAGAACGTGAATCATCCATATTCGCCATCCTTCAGTCGGAAAGTGTAGCTTAAGTCGCCCACCTAGCTCAATTATTCAGAAGGTTCAAAAACCCCGCAATTATATATTATGGATAGTGGCTTTCAATTACAAACCTATGTCGCTGCGTGATTATCTGTGGAAGGAAAGGCAAAAAAGGAGAACACTCTGAGTAAAGCCGTGGCAGTCTCACTGTACGAATGGTCCGATCGTGTTCCTTTTATATCAGCATCTATTATGCAAACCCATCA